GCCCTAATTTTCAGGGGGGGCAAACTTATAAGACATATATGTCGGGGGTCTAAGGGGGCAGTGTCCCCTGGCGGGGTTCGACCTGTTGGGGGCAATTACCTAAAGACCATAGTATTTTAAAATTTTTAGGGGGGGCAATTGCCTGAAAAGCCTTGTAATAAAGACTAAAAAATAAATAAAAAGAGGTAAATTATCTAAAACACCCTATAAAAATTTTTTTTTAAAAAATTTTGAGGGGGGGCAATTGCCCCCCGGAACCCATTGGGTTCCGCCGGTGAATATAGATACAACGACATGGATACGACACAATACGGATACAACTCGATATGGAGACACGACACATCAATTCTTAGTTTTTTTTTTTTTAATTTTTTAAATGGTCAGTCAAAGCCATGAATAGATTTGCTTTTCTCAGAAGAGAAGTAAAATTCTTTTGCGAAGATTATAAGTCGATGTTAGGGGAAAACATAGAGTTGTGGTTATTATGCATACTATAGGAGTGTAAAGAAAATTATCAAATTAAATTTTTATTTATGCCATGATGATGGAACTTAAGAGCGAGGGTTATTAATCTTTTAAAGAAAATAGATTTATTATTGTACCTACAATTAGTGAAAACTGTTGGAAGGATAAGGCGTGTTCTTTACTTGGATTTGTCATCTATATTTCTATATGTAGCCATTACGCTTTCTAAAAATTCTGTTTTGTGCTTTACAGGTTAAACATGGTATATCCAATATGCAACATGTTCAAGCTACTTGTATGCGCAGTATGCCAGGTTGAGATGAAACCTGGTGAGGGCATTTCTGTTCATGCTGGTTCATTAAAATCTGGTAGAGTTTGTTTATGGGAAGGCCCGCTACTTTGCCAGAGCTGCCAGTTTAAGAAAGAAGCTATGGAAGGAAAAAGACCTTCAAGAAGTAAAATACAAGACATGTTTTTTTTTCCAACTTGTCATGCTGTGAAATGATATTGATTAAAATTTTTTTATTTCTCTTCAAATTTTCAGATTTGTGTAGAAAGCCTGATGGAAATGAATATTACTAGATCTCCTTCAGAAGCTCCGGTGGTCATCCATTTATATTCATCATAGAAGTTCTGATAGAGATTGCACACTGAGATTAAGGTTTTGTTTGGGATGGCTTTTTTACTTCTTCGTAAAGCAACTTTTTAGTACAATTTTTTTTTTTACTAGAAATCTGCTTTAAGATGCAGTAAAAAAGCCGTCCCAAATGAAACCTAAAGGTCTTCCTTACCGCTCCACTACATTCTTCGTCCATGCAAAGTAGCATGGGGATTGTGTCCGATTAACAAAGTTCAGGTCCTTTATTCTATCCTATGACTTCGGTCCATTCAACAAGTATATTTTTGCAATCCTTTGCGAAGCAACAGGTACTGACCAATAGATTGTTTTAGGTTCACCATGCATATTTTCCATTCTAGAGGAAGATAGCAGGGTAGTATGTATTATAATCTTAGAATTATAGGTACCCCATAGATGGGCAAATTATTTGGTGCTGAGTCCGGACGTAGCATTTTGTCCGGATTCCAATTAAATGTTTACACGTGTATTAAGGACAATATTTACTGCGCTTTTTGTGAGAAAAATTTTTAAAAAATTAAAACGCGTAATTTGCTGCCATTTTGCTGCGCTTTTATTGTGTTTTGCTGTCCTTGCGCTTTTGCTGCGCTTTCACTGTGTTTTTATTGCCCTTTTGCTGTGCTTTCACTTTGTTGTGCTTTCACTGTGCTATTGCTGTGCTTTTATTTTTGCTGCCTTTTGATGAAAAATAAAATGGCCTAAAAAAATTAAAGCTCAGTAAAAAATCCACGTATTCGTAATACACGTGTAAAAATTTAATTGGAGTATGAACGTAGCATGTAGTCCGGACTTAATGCTACGTCCGGACTCCGCACCAAATAATTTGCCCCATAGATGAAAGTGCAAATCATTTCGGTCTCAAAAGTTTTTTTTTTTTTTTTCATGTTTCTTTAATGGTAAATTGTTGCGCTGTAACTGCAAGGATCAATAGAACTTATTTAAATAAGCTTCTGTAAATTTTTTTTCTCATGTATTTGTGCTATAATGAGCCTTTTCTCATCTATTTCTGCTGCTACTTTTGCATATTATCCGTTCCAATCTTTTTTTCTTGACTGTTCTGTGGTTTATAAACCGAGCCTCAGAAAAAATGTCAGATGCCCTTTATATATTAGTAAATATTAAATAAGAATGTATTGTTACCTTTATTGTGGATTCAAGCATGTAATTATTGATCTATTGTATCTCATTAGAGAAGTTAAATAGACTTTCTGCTAATAATATGACATAATTTATGCTTAATAAGCTCAGAAAAAAGCTTTTATCAGAGGAGCTCACACAGAAGTTTATCAGGGTTGCAGGACATTAATCAAAATAGCTGGACAATCAAATATTATCTTAAGAAATATAATAATTTAGCCTGTTGAATTATAGTACAAAAAACATCTTTTTCTTTTTATATACATAAGACATAGTTTTTTGCAAATATCAGGTTGTTATGATTAAGATTCTTGCACTCCTAGTGAAGTTCTTGTGTGAGGAGCGTCTGATATAATTGTTTTCAAAATAAGCTTCTTAGCCATCTGATATAAATGATCGATTTTTTTTTTTCATCTGATTTAGAGTAAACATTGATAAGTTTATATATATTTTTTAATTGTTTTTATAAAAAGATAAATTATATGATACAAAAAATTATAATTGAGAACATCTATTATGTATATTTCATTTAAAATAAAAAAATTAGTTAGAAATTTTTATAATAAGATATAAATAAATAAATAAAATATTTTTTTTCTATTTTTTAACATTAAGAATTTAAAAATTGATCAATTATGGGTTGATGGGGTAGGGGAGGGGCTAATTATTATGTGTAGCGCCTGGTTTCATTCGGAGACGAATTTGAATGCGTCGCATCACCCGGCGAATCTTGACGGTTACACTCTTCTTAAAATCTCACAGTTACACTCATCTCTACCTTCTCAGATTCTGCACAGAATTAACACCGGCGTCTCCACATGATTGAGCTTTTTAGACATGATATTTGAAAATGTAAGAAAACATAAAAACAAGTTTTTTTTTTTATTTGTTTTTTTTTAGTTACGTTTGATGCTCAGTACCATCATGTGAGGTAGAGATTGTTGCAATTTTTTGTCCGAATGAAATCTAAGACTTCAATTGGGATAACTTTATTATAATTTTTTTATTAGAAAAATATTTTGAAAAACAGTACTAAAATTGGAACAATTATTACGTCCTCCGACCGGACGTAGAGGAACATCCGGTCGGAGGCAAATTTCCGCCAAATACCGAGATGTACCGAGCAAATACTGAGCAATGTCAAACAATAACGAAGAATACCATCATTTGAAGACCCAATACCGAGTTATATCGGGCTTTACAGAACAAATACCGAGTTATACAAAAGTTGTACCGAGTCAAAAAAACTCGGTACAACTCGGTACAGCTCGGTATAACTCGGTATTGGTCTTCAGAGAATGATATTCTTCATTATTATCAAATAATACCTAGTTGTACCGAGCAAATATCTAGTTTTTGGACGGAAAATTGCCTCCGATCGGACGTTCCTCTACGTCCTTGCACCGAACGTAATAAAAGTTCCTAAAATTGAGGCTTTCTTTGGGACAGCTTTCTTAATGCCTTTTAAAGCAGTTTTTTAGAACAAAAATTTTACAACTAAAAATTCTCATCATACTGCTTTTTTAATTAATTTATTTAAAAAACTATTATTATGGTCGAGATCCTTTATAATGAAAACAAGCCATCAAAATTTGAAAATATACTATTAGATATACAATATATTTTAAAAATATAATAATTTCATTTTCAAATATTTTGCTTGTAA